TAAACTTTCGCTATGACGTGACGCACATGTGCAGAACGTACTTACACGTTCCGATTGGGAATGTAATCAGATACAGGCATTTACATGGCTATTATTCTTCTATTTAATGGATTATTTACAGGATTACCCACCTCGTTCAGTCGGATAGATTGTATTCCGAATGGCCTCAATCGGACTAGACTATTCCAATTGAGGTGTACACATGGACGTATTCTGTTCCGATTGAGCCATTAGTCGGATTATTAATGGACTATTAGGCTGCATGTAAATGTGGCTAATGTGACGTAAAAGGTGAAAAAGGGCAAAAGTGGCGGAAGATGTGACAATTTTTTGGATGATAGAAACAGTCACAAGTAACGTACATGTGAGACGGCAAAGAAAATGCAGTTATGGTTATGTCTCCTTTCACCAGCACCGCATTTTTTTTGATTCCTCGGGTATTTAAAAATAATTGACTGAGAAATTGATGAGCATTAGATCATTTTTGTTTGGACAGCAATGCATTACATTAGATCGACATTGTATACAGAGTTGTGTACTCTTCTGGCATATTTATTTATGTATTTACTCTAACTCTGCTTATATTTAGCCTATATGTTTGACATACTAATGTACAATGTGAACAGCTGTTTCCTGATGATTGAAAATAGTAAAGCTCAGTAAAAAAATCTGTTTAAACTTGAAAAAGTTTGGTGAGATAAATCTTGTTCCTGAATAGACTAAATAATTGTGCTAAGTGATGTTCATTTCAGTGTTGAGCAAAATAATCATGATTATCATTCTAGCCTTTGTTGTCCAGGCCTATTTTAGAGTGTTTTAACCTTCTGCATACTGAAATCATGCCTTCTGAAAGCATGAGCAAGTAAGATGCTAATTTAGTTCCTTCACATCTCTTACATCACATTTTATTTATAAATGGCCTGCTGAATCTGTATGAATGCTGCTGTGGCAAAAGTCAGCATGTTTAAAGTACTCAGGACTCAGGCTTAGAACATTTCCACTGAAGCGTCTGCAGGCATTAGCGTCCCCTCATTAAAAAGTTAGCAGAAAGGTCTTCCCTTACAAGCATTAATCTGAAGTTTCAGACTTGAGCGACTCCTCTTCTCAACTGAGCTTGCTCCCAATTACCTCTTCACGGTTGCTTATTAAAGCCAAGGATGGAAGACTTTGACTCTCTTGCTAATTTTAGACCATTTTCATCTTGTTGGCTTGTGCCCATATTTAGCACCTCTTTCATTGAGAAGTGCACAAAAAGGGCAATAATAATCCCGGGAAACAGGATGGGTATTGGGAGGCATGGCGAGGAGACCAACCAAACCAGTGCTTGGGTGATTTGTTCCTATTTGGAATAATTTTGAGGCTTCAAAAATAGACCTGAATGTCCTGTGAAAACATGGCAAACATCCTGATTTCAAAACAACAGTTCCTCCATTTCTTAGCCAAAATGCAGGGCCAAAATGAGGAGAAAGGTGGGAGGCACATGCAAGGGTGGGCGATACAGTAACAATATCACAATACTATGTATTACTATACTATATATATACTACAATATATTTCATTATTGAAAATAAAAACCAGAAAAGTAGTAGCACCACAAAAAGCCTTTGAAAAACTATATGACAAGAGGAAAAATCTAATACTTAAATAAAATAAAACAGCAAAATATTATCATGGGCTGATGTCCTCTAAGCTAGTTGTTACTATTCAGTTTATGCAGTTACTGGCTGTTAAGAAGCTCTCGAGAATGAAATAAAATGTCTTTTAATGATACATAGAGTTTTTCCAATGATACACATCATATATTCTGAAAACTGAACCATGACATAATTTATGATGATAAATGATAACATCATATTTCATTTCAGCTCACTGAAACATATTTGACTTTGCCATAGAAAAATCCACTGAACTCTGCTGTTTTAATTTGGCTGTTTCTAACTTGACCTGACAGGTCATGTGATGTAACACACTGCAGATGGAAAATTCTGCAGGTCAGCTTCTACAGATCCTTCTTCTGGTTTGTCAAGCAAATATGCTGTTTAAAAATGCTTATGACAAGTTACTTTTTCCTTATCAGGGTGTAGCCTGGTGTGTTTGCTGTGGCTGCAGTACCTCTGTTTTATAATACATACGCTGTGGAAAGCTGTTCCTGTATCCTGTATTGAGTAAGGTGGAGAAAGTTCTCATAAGCATTCGTACTATAATTAATTGCATATGTGCTCTCAAGCGTATTGTAATTGTTTTTGTTGGTTAGTGTGAAGGGCCACAGTGGTAGAATGTCTGTCCAAGGGCTAAATCCAGATTACAGATTTATTGCAGATTAATGAGACAATTATGGTCTTAACTTTGTAGGACGTGATCCACAAACTCCAGCTTCATGGTGAGGGATTACAAATTAGTTGCAATTTAGCATTGCAACCGTGAACAGACACCTCACAGAATGTACTCATTGTGATAACTTCAGTAAAGAGTCAACCGTGTCTATTTCGTGATTCGTCTCATCCTTGATGAAAACACTGTAGGTACATTCGGAATCATGATTGAGCCGTTCCGAACACAGCGATTGTGATTGCTTTTATTTTGCAATCTTTCCATGACTGTTTGTGAAGTTACAGAGCTATTGACCAGAATTCATGGTGTTGAAGGTTTTTTTGCCCTCAGAGTTTTGAAGCAAAACGACATCTTTCAGTCTAAAATGATGTGGTTGTTTGAGTTTGTTAGCTTGCTGAGCAGAACTCCTAATTATGAAATCGAGACCTCCCCCTGACTGTGACTCATCCACAAGATGTCATATGTTTCCTTTGTCACTGCACCGAGACTTACGGGAGCTGAGATGTAGACAGAGTTCTTTTTTAAGTATACTTATGACAGCTTGTTTGGCAGTAGTGCTTTTTCGTTTAGTTCTTTCATCATTTGAAGTATACTGCTGGCTTAATCCTGGATTAAGTCCATTACTGATATCTGATATCGTGTAGTATCTGCTAAGAGTCCAATCCAACATTTGTACTATATTTTTGTAGATCGTTTTAGGCAGGTGGCATGTTTCTTTAAAATGCTGCAATAAAATTGCTCCTTGCTTCTTTCTTGTTGTCTTGAATACAGTACTTTCATGTTTCATGGTGCTATTACATGCACAAAGTATCTTACTCCTTTCTCTTAGCTTTGAATGTGTTGTTATGGTGTAACATTTTACCTTTGTTTAACTGGATTTCGATAAAAGGTGACTGACAGTCAGAAGACTGTTGGGCTGTCTTCTTCTTCTGTTTTAGACTTGTTCCACACTGCAGACATTCAAACTGCTTGTTAATTTCAGAAAATCTGTCTTCCACAAAACAGTGGCGTAAATAGAGGGCAAAAATAGCCCTAGATTGGATTACTATAGTTGATGCTAATCCATTAAATACACTTTGATTGGCTCTGATACTGGTCGTCTGAATTATGATTGATGTAGAGAGTTTGATTGATGTAGGCCATACCAGTTAAAATGTGCCTGGACCGGCTCCAATACCGATCTTTAAGATCATGAACATAAGTTATTGGAATTTGATCACGCTTAATATAGCCAGTGCTGATCCATTAACTCCAGAACTGATCTTTCATGCTGCCTTGAGACTTCTCAGTTGTGAAGTCAAGTACTCAACTCTTTGTTCTGATGAAACACCACTCTTCATTGTGCAGGCACTTCCAGTATAGTTGCTCCTGCTAGCCACTTTCCTCTCCTTTAGTGTTCCACTGCATTCTGTTCTATTCTTTGGCTCATTGCTGCACAAGCGCTGGCCAAGTAGAGTGAAACAGGAGTAGCTGACCGCTCCTCGATCCAGCCCAAAGCCGACCTGAACTTCGCCCTACTGTACTGCGCCAGCTTATGTGTTGCACTTTTTAAATGGGAGAAATTTTCTGTCTGGCCTGAATTTGACTACTATTTGCCTGGCTTTTGCACTCTGATATCCAGTCATCCAAGTCTGGCTCCATTGCTTTGGCTGTGACTTATTGACAGGTAAATCCATTGTCTGCTGTGATTTCCATACAGGCCCTGCAGTGCTGTAGTAGAAGGCCGGTAACAGCTGACCATAATGGCAGTAACTGCTGCAGCACCAGTGGATTTTATCGAGTTACTCTGGCTTATTTTGTCCTTGAATGACTGTGTGACATCCTACACACTATAGCAAAATGATTATGGGGGGGGGGTCAAAAATGCCTTAAGATACAGAATTATTCCCCATTATCACTCTAGCAGTGTGCAAAATACCATATTGCAATTGCCAATATATTTGAATATAATGAACCCTTGATGTGGTGTGGTTAAGCATTGGCCTGCATTTTTATTGGCCAATATTATTTATGTTTGTTGAATCATGTGAATGCTTTGATTCATCCAAACACCCAAAGAACATATGTGACAGCACACAATAAAACTACTAGTATGGGAGTTGTGGACTAATGCCAATATCCAATATTATTTATTTATGTGTCTGCCGATACATTCACATTTATAAAGTGTAGAAATTGGGATGCCTTCTACCTAGATTACCATTACAGAGAAATAGAACATTTATTTGTATAAGGTTACAAATGCAGTAAAATGAATAAAATACTGACAGAATACAGTCATTGCATAGTCCAATATTGAAATACAGGTCAAATGTAAACATCTGATTCTGATATTTTTTAAGCAAATATGTGTTGATAGTGATATGATTCCCATATCTCTAAATAAAACATTCAGAGATTGGTTGGAGGCCCATTAGCATGTTGCAGACTCCTGCAATATCAGTATTGCGAAGGCTGATGTCACAACTATGCCGGACAAATTATATTTTATGCAGCCCTGCTGCACACATCTGACTGTAGGTAAGTACTACTGTTGCTGTGTAGTGGCACAGTGACCCTGGCTAAGTCCACTGTTGATACTGTGTTTTGGCCGCTTGCCTGTACAGTTAAAAACGAATGGCTGACCTGTGTGTGTTTGTGCCACTCTCTCTGTCACGTGTGCTGTATAGGAAGCAGATGGAGAGGACAGGCTGGGGCTGCCCAGTGAAGGCGAAGGAGACTTGGAGGGCGACTGTAAAGCAGACACTCCAGACGTGCCACCGTCCTCTGACAACACTCCGCAGTGTCTCAACAAAGCCCTGGAGGGCCTGTCGTCCAGGTAACCCCCTACACTCCACTCAAGGACATATTTCATAGACAGCCCCCTTAACACCAAGAAAAACTGCTTAGATGTGTATATATTCAGTGATAAGTAGTAGATATGTAGGCTTGTTGTTTGTGTGGTCCTGGCTGATAGACGCTTGCTCTCTTCAAAGATGAATTCAAACAAAGTCTTTCAGAGTGGTCCGATGTGAAATGATGCATTGTAGAAAACCTTCCGAACACTGGTGTCTTTACAGTGGTGGTGATAGCAACCAAGGGTTGCAATGCAGTATCTATATTTTTTTCATTTGCTATCCAAAATAACCAGTAAACCTGCATGTGTCTTCTGTGTTTTTTTAGCAAATGCTGATAATGTTAAAATAGTGGTAAATCTGAAAAGTGAAAAGTCTTCTTCATGGACTCTTTTGCCTTATAATACCCTGAATGTACCACCATGAATGGATTTTGGTCCAAAATCTTATCTTAAAATCAAAAATGTCTCAGAAAATGTCTCTTGCATCAGGCAGTGTATTCATCTCCATATTAGCTTTCTGTAAGGTAACTTGTAGAGATGTGTTCCTATCACACATTCTGACCAGACAAGTTTCTCTAAAATGATGCGCTTCACATTATACTACTTTGAGTGACTCAGCAATGTAATTACACAGGAATTTCAAATAAAGAATCTCAGTGAAAGTAAGCTGCATTAGCCTCGTAGCTCCAGTGCAAAGAATCAAATTTTAGACACTGAACGTTTTGGTTAGTCTGCTACATTTGGGATTAGAAGAAAACTGTGTAAATGAGATTTTTTGCCAAACTATCACTTTAAGGATCTACTTGGTGTTGTTAGCTACTTTTTTAGTTTGTGTAGATCATCACAATTAACATATCAATTTGTTTTATTTAATCTAATTTGACCCTAAAGAAAGTGTTTTTTTTTTCATTTAACAGCAGTGCTTTACGTTCTAGCTATATAAGTGGACAAAATAAGCTTCATCAGAATATATTTATCACCTTCAGTCATTCAACCTGAACATGAAAAAATCATATGGTCCAAAATCACAACCATCTATTATAGAGGCTGTTCGTGGCTGTAAGGTTAAAAGTAAAGTACACAGGAGCTGGAGTCACTGGAGGTGAAATGGAATTCTTCTTGGACTGGTTTCACCTGTTCAAACTGCTGATGACTGAAAGCTGAAACCATGAGCTCAGTGTCACTTCCTAAATAACTTTGACAGTTACTATATGCTGCTTATGAGCTTTTTATAAAGACATGGGTTGATCACAGAGAGTTAATATATATTTAAACAAAACTCAATTTCTAGCAAATATGTTGGAGCCAATGGGGCATCAGAACACAAAGGGGATTAATGGGGGATCTCTACTTTGGGGGCAGAGCTAATCCTGCTTGGCTTTTCTGCTCTGCTGGTGGGGATTTGCTGTAGCCTCTCCCCCTCTCACACACACACATGCACACACACATAATGTGTTTTTATACAATGTCAAGATGTTGGGTCATACATCATACCTATTGTCACCAATATATCAAAACCATGTATCGCCTTTTATATGTTTTTATTTTTTTATGTCTGTGGAGCAAGCAATGGCCCTTTATGAAAATGTTATGACAAATGGACCAATAGAAATAGTCCAGAGTGACATCAAATTACATTAAGGCAAGACGCTACAGGTGAATGGAGTATTTTATTGAAACAGTAATTCATTTCACAGTAAATTTTTACCTGTTGCTTCCTGCTACTGTTTACTGTATTTTTTGTATTGGATGTTTATCATTTAGGATTTTATTTAGAAATGTTATCTACTTAAATGTGCATATATATTTGCATATTTAAAAAAGCCTTTGAGTGATGTTAGAACGAAAATGTTTATTTAATTGTGGAGACACTCCAGAGAAAGGACTGTACAGAACAGTTGAGTAAATTCTCATTGTTGTATTCTTTAGTCAAGAAATCAGTATGCACTGTTATAATGCTTTTAATATAATCTAGCATGAATTCAGCTATGAGCAATAGATTAGGAAATTCTTCTGTACCATCCTTCGGAATAAGGTTAGGAATAAACGTGTAAAATTTCATAAATGCAGGAATTCTAGAAGCTTCAGAACTGCGTTAACCATTGAGGTCTTAGAAAACATGCACCATTTGTATGAATAGTGTACAAAAGTAAATGGACAAAGTAAATGGACATGAATGTGAAGATGAATGTTCTATTAAGAATCTGCAGGAAACAAGCTTTTCATATAGTCAGGTCCATAAATATTTGAACATTGACAAAGTTATAGTTGTTTTAGCTGTCTGTTGAAACATATTGAAAATTAAATAATCAAAGTGCAGATTTTCAACCTTTAATTTGAGGGTATTTTCATCCAAATTGGATGAACAGTGTAGGATTTACAACCATTTTTATACAAAGCCCCCAATTTTTAGGGGCTCAAATGTAATTGGACAGTTTGCTGCTCATCTGTTCCATGGCTAGATGGATGTGTTATTCATTCATTATTACACAACCCATCAGAGAGATGGCAAAATCATTAGGTGTGGCCAGATAAACTGTTTGTGATATTCTTATAAAGATTAAAAGACTAATTCTTCCCCTGGTAAAGGAAATCCTCTTTATATCCACATCCATTGGGAAGACTAGATTAGAGTTTTGCAAAAAAAGTATGGTTATGCATGTTGTGAGCTTTCATTAAAGTTGCTCACATTTTGAAAATACATATCTGAGTGGACAGCAATTGATTAAACACACTGAAATAAATATATTTCTGGTGAGTTTTGACATGATATGATTACAATTTAAGAGGAGACATAGATATTGTACAGTGCCCTCTGCAAATATTGGCACTCCTGGTAATCATGAGCAAAATATTCAAAGAATATTCAAAAAATTGTTATTCTTTTGATCTTTCCTTCAAAATGTTAGCAAAAATCTAACCTTTATTTAAGGTTTAATGATTGAAAGAAAAAACTAAATCTTGTCATGAAATAAATATTTTTCTTAAATCTGTGTGCTACAGTTGTTGGCAACAAATATGTAAAAGTGAAATCTAACTGAAGTATATTCCCATTCATATTTTATGTTTTTAAAGTTCACCTGAGGGATTAGGAACACGGTCAGCCATGACTTCCTGATTCACTGGGAAATATATATGAAATAAAACACAGGCCAAATTCCCTCAAGTCATCCATCATTATGAAAAAGACCAGAGAATACAGTAATGATGGGCGACAAAAGTTGGTTGAGCAGCACAAATCAGGAAATGGCTAAATAGTTGAAAATGCCCATTTCCAAAATCAGGTCAATAATTAAAAAGTTTAAAACAACTGGAGATGTTAAGAATCTGCCGGGAAGAGGACGTATGTCTATACTGACCCCACACATAGTGAGGTCACACTCAAACACCACCTATAGAAGCACAAGTTGTTTGGGGGGGTTGTCAGAAGAAAGTCTCTGCTGTCAAAGTCCAACAAACTTAAGCTCCTACAGTTTGCCAAACGTTACTGGAACTTTCAGTGGGAGCGTGTTTTATGGTCAGATGAGACCAAAATAGAGGTTTTTGGTAACAAACACCAGAGGTGACTTTGATGTGGACACAAAGATAGCCATGCAGAAAAGTACCCCATCCTCACTGTAAAGTATGGTGGTGGATCTGTGATGCTGTGGGGCTGTTTTTCTTCCAAAGGCCCTGGACAATTTATTCGGATACATGGTATCCGAATTTGTCAGTCAGGAAGCTCAAACTGGGTCATAGTTTGGATCTTCTAGCAGGACTATGATCCAAAACATGCCTGAAATCAACACAAAAATTATTAACTGACCACAGAATTAAGGTTTTGTCATGACCGACCCAGTCTCCTGACCTAAACCTCATAGAAAACCTGTCAGATGCTGAAGAGGAGAGTCCACAGTGTGGACCTCAGAATCTGAAGGATCTGGAGAGGTTCTGTATGGAGGGATAGTCTCAGATCCTTTTCCCATGTGTTCTCCAGTCTCATTAATCATTATGGTGCCAATAACTGTGGCACACATAGATTTGAGAAAAATATTTATTTCTTGATAAAATGTAGGATTTTTTTCAATCATTGTACTTCAAATAAAGGTTAGATGTTTATTAATATGTTGAATAAAAGATCAAAAGGATCAGCAATAAAGAGTGTTTTTTACAGCCTGTTTTGCTCATGTTTACCAGGGGTGTCAGTATTTGTGGAGGGCACTGTAGATGTTATAGATAATAAGCATTTTTTTTTTCAATCTGACAAATGACTGCCAAGATCAAAATAGCCATTTCTGCTTGTATTGTTTTGCCTTGTTTTGGAGATACAAGGTTTTGTTAGAACAGCACAGATATGCCCCCCATAAGTATTACACAGCACATTACAAAGAAACGTCAGGACAGTTTGGTTGGTCCTGACAGACTGTTTTTCCTCTGGTTTTTGTCTTGAAAATGTACAAAACCAAACACAAACACATACGTACACCCTCGCACGAAAGGCCACAGAGGCGCTAGGACACACAAATGAATGGAGGCGCCTGGCCTCGTCACACTTTCTGATGACTCTGCATTACCTCTCTCTCTCCCCTGCGTGCTTGCTATCACTCTAGCTTTCTTTCTTACTTTTTCTTCATTGACAACTTCTCTCCTTTGCTCACAGCCTCCGGTATGAGTTGTGGCACCTGTCCCCTGTTCTGTTCCGAGTGGGCAAATGCTTTATGGCGCTGTCCAATAACTCATATCTTTTATGGAGCTCCCTTTGTCCCCTTTATGAACACTATCACTACACTGTGAATGAATGGCTGCCTGCAATGGAGGTGTGCGACTCTGCACTGCACACGCACACACGCACACACACACACACACACACACACACACACATTCCAGGAAATCAACAGAGCAGTATATTGTATTGACCTTCCTGTGAGGTCCAAACTGATTCGTGAACATTTCACAGACTGTTAATAGAGGAGTTTGTTATTTATTTGAAAAGCCTAGCTTCGCTGAACTTGTAATGGTTTTTGGTGCCTTTGAGTGTAATAACTCTCCACTCAGACTTTTCAAATTCCTGCCAGGGAATCTTATGCTCATGTTTAATTCAGTTCAAGGCATTTCATTGTGTAAAACGTTTTAAAATAGACAGTGTCACAAGTCAGCTTTACAGAAATGCAGGTATGGTCCCCTAATAAGCAAGCCAGGGTTGATGGTGACAGGAAAAACACCTCAAACGTTTGGATGTGAAACTAATTACAAATAGTGACAATTTTCAAAATTGATGTGATTTTTAGACTATTCATTACTATCTCTGGAGCTCCCCCACATTTCAGCTCACTGTTTTTACTTGGGCCTTTGGTTCCTGAATTCTATTCTTAGAATTAGGGTTGCAGTGATACCATATCAGTACCACCAATACTAGCACTTAAACACAGTATCAGTATTGGCAATAGAGAATATCCTGAAGCAATATCTGATACACACGTCCTACTGAATGACGCATGCATTCACACAGTAAGTATATGGAACTTAACTAAAGCAAGAAACACGTCAACAGTGTGAGATAACAAGCAGTAGTGAAAATGCTTATAGAAAAATTTGTAGCACCAGTGTTTCGAGGGGAGGCAATAGGAGTGGGTGATATACCAGCTGGAGTTCTTCCTCAGGTATTAGTTTCAATGGTATACCACAAATAGGCCACATAATGTAATTTACAAACCATGCAAAACATGCTAACAGGAGCCCTTTCCCTGAATGGCTGAGTCAGGCTTTTTTTAGCAATTTGTCATCTCCCGCTGTGGGGTCACTTACAGTTATTCAAGGTTAGTCTAGGTTGTTACTGAGGCAGCAAACATTAGAGAGACCTATGGAAGGAACTGCTGGTTTCATGTTCCAACAGTAGCTTTTAGCCTAGGTTTATGACTTTAGCATAGCAGCCCACTAGCCCTTTTGTGGTGCGGTGTAGTCAGGGCCTGATGCTTCCGTCATGACAAAAAAACCACTGAAAGCAGCTGGCACTGATAGACGTTGTTACTGATGACTGTAACATTTCCAGCAAATTAATTTACATTAAACATAGAATGCCCTCTCCTATAAATTTTGGAGATAATTGTTTTTCTTTGGACAGCAACAATATATATACTGCTAATAAAATATTTAAAAAATTGCATTCGCTTAAATATCAGGGTTTAAAGGCTAGTTAGATTGTCGGTACTTGGTAAGGATCAGGTTTTGGTATCGGAGGGATAAAGTGGTATCAGTGTATCTGGAATATAATTTATGGGCATAGGCTTCTAAGCTGAGTGCACCACAAAAGAACTTGTATCTCTTTTTAACAGTTGAATAAGCTTATCTTTGTTTTATTCTTATTCATGTAAAGCAGTATGTCCTAGTCTGTTTTCCCTGTTGTTACAGGCCTTATTAAACTCTATAAATTAGGTTTTCACTTTATCCCCAATGCAGTCAAGCAGCCAAGACATGTTTGGTGTCTAAACCTGTTTAGTTTTGCACTATGAGGTTAAAGTAGCTAGCAAGTGATGGAAGCCTATAGATAACCAATTAGCTTAGTCCAAAATGCATTTCATGTCCATCTGTATTAAGCACACAGCATCACTGACGTGAAGCACTGCTCTTAAGAAGCATCAAACACTTCCACTGCTAATTTTCAGCCTGTTAAATATCAGTGAGTTATGAGTAGGGATGCGCACAGGTACTCAATCAAGGTGCCAGTATTCAAATACTGAAATCTTTCTGGTACTTGTTAGATTTCATCATAGCAAGACAGAGAAAATAAGCAGGCTAACAATTCAGGGAAAAATACTTTATGTTTAAACATAACTATAAAATGTGACAGTTTTGCGAGTTACTATATTATACTTTGCTACTACAAAACAGGAGTGTCTGAATGCAGCTTCTGATACACATCAGACATGAAACCTACCTATTGTCTGAGACAATTTATATTTTATTATATTTTATTAATCTTATTGTATTTTATATTTTATTAATCTTATCTTAATCCAGTGCTGTCTTCTAAACCTTCACACCAATTATGTCTGAATATAACTGAATACTTAAATATCAATGTTAGTTGAAATGCAGATCCCTAGTTACAAGACAGTTCCATGAGGTGCTTTGCATCTAAAAAACAGACAGAAGTATGCACAAAAAAAGCAAATCTGTTTCAGATTACTTAACGGCTCAATGTGTTTTGAGGCAAGTGTGTAAAGTTTTAGGTCTGCATTTTAGGTTTGATGTGGTATAAGCTCCTATGTTAGCTTTTAGCCTTGCATCTTCACTGCAAAAAAGCAAACTTCAGAAACCAAATATCTTAGCTGATGGATATGATGATATTTTTGATGATATTAGCCGATGATATTTCTTTATGGGCAGTCCATGTGTTAATTAAGGTGTATTAGTGGAAGGTATCACTAGGACTGGAAAACAATAATGTAGAGAAATGTGTTACTGATATATTTGCCATTTTGTTTTTCTTACAGATGGAAGAACTGGTGGATACGAGGGATTTTATCAGTGACAATGATCATAGGCTTCTTCCTTATCATCTATTTGGGACCCCTTATGCTTATATTTGTTGTAAGTATGCATGTACCCCTTATCTCTTATTGTGGTTGTAAACAAACAAGATAACACACAGGCAATTACATCTGAGTCCCAAACCAAACAACCATGAAGCTGCACTGTTGTCCACCCTAACACCTGGCTTCAAAGTGTTATGTATCATGTTGGTCATCAAGGTATTTTTAAAATGGTCTTTCATTGGGTCATTGAGAGTTATGTGTCAGACTGGAGAATCTCTTGGATGGGCTCTAGGCACTTAATATAGAAATTCCACAACTTTCCTCAGAGGATCAGCATGATTCAGCAAACTGTTATGAATCATAGTTACATAGACATCTAAAAATGTTACTTCAAGACTTTTATTTACTGATATATTGCTGCTGTTTTAAGATATTGTTTGGCCAAAAATTATCTTAGCTCAAATGTTGTCCATCAGCTGAGAGACATGTTTATGCTAATTTAATTTAGCACTGAAGTTTAGAGGCTAATGTAGCTCATAAGTAATGTTATGTACATAAGTTAGCATTCAGCAAACCGTATGCCAAAATCATCACACAGTTGTTAAGCAGTCATTTCTGACACTGTTTAAAAATGCTACATTTTTAAAAATGGAGAAAATATAAATTCACCTTAACCATTAAGATGGCTTCTTCTACTGTTTTTAGCTATGCAGTGTGCTTTTGCCCATTTTTATTAATATCAAATATACATAAAATAAGTAAGATAGATATAAGCTTCCATTGCTTGTTAGCTATTTTAGCCCCATATCTGCAGTGTAAAACTAAAGAAGCACCTTTTGGATACAAAACATTTCTTAACTACATTTTGTGGAAAATAGTGTTAATAATTGAATAAATGTTTGTCAAAAGGGAATTCTCGCCTAAAGCTAGCATTTAACCCCTTAAAATCCCAGGCTTATTGCATACTAAGGCTTATTATTCAGTAAACTACAGGGACTTCAGTGCCAACTGGTTGAGCTATTCTTAGATTATAGGAGAGTGTAATACAACTTTGGTCCCACTGGCAGGCCCTGTCCATGTTAATTTTAGCTAGCATTTCATTTTTGTGTTCTGCAATTTTCCGCAGCACAGCATTCCATCTCTAAGCCTTACTGGTTTGACATAATTCATGAATTTATATCCCTTTTGTGTTTTCACCCATCAATTTCAGCGCACAGCATGCATTGTGTAAATACATCATATGACCATTGGGAATCCCTTAGACCATTATCCCTTATATCCCTTATACAGCAATAAAGAACATGCAGTCATATAGAAGCTAAGAAATACAGATGCAATATTTTGCTTACTAGCCATAACCTTAGCTATCTGGTTTCCTTCTGCATTAGCCAGTTCCATACAGCCTGCCATCTGGTGTGGGCCTGTAATCGCTTGCAGTTTTTCTAAAGTTCCTCCCATCTTCAAGATGCATCAAAAGGGAGTTTTCATAGTCTATAAACCAGAAAATCTCATTCTCGTGATAAAAGGAGGACAGATTTATCAATGTTTTTTTCATTTTGACTGGAGTGTCTCTTTAAGTCTAAAAGCTCCAAATATTGAGTGAGCATTTTCTGAAGAATTGCCATGTTGAGCACTGTGGGCCAGATGAACATACAAGCGCAGGCGCAGTGCGAAATGTGCCTTGATGTGAACACAATGGCCCTTATTCATCAAATTTGTGTACAGTCATATCTGATTGTAAAACCAGCGCACACAAATTTCACCGTTTTGTGATTCATCAGTTTTGTCTTTGCCATATCTGTACGATTACATTCACATCTGGTAGGAGTGTTTCTAAATTTGAGCATAAATGTTTAACAACCTGAAAAAAATGCCTGATTTGTGGTTAACTAAGTAAAGCTATTAACAGTATCCTCTATAATACCAATAATAAGAATAAAAATAGAAAATAACAGTAATACTAATAATTTATGCACATGGCAGTCCTGTACAAAATTGGATGTACTTATTTTACATTATGTTGATTTATTTTACAATAAATGCTGCAATCAGGCCATGTTCTTCAATCAGGCCAGGCCTGCTTTTGTTTTATACTACTGACATTGCCAAAAAAATAAAAAACAGGTAGTTCAGAAGCATCTCATAAACTGCAGTAATGCAGAGTTTAAATAATAAAATAATCACACTATCCACATCACATCATTCTACCCTCTTGAACCAGCTGAGACATTTTTTTGTTTATTTCATATTCTGTCCAGATGTTGCAATTTTATTGCTATACAATATTGCAGCCATATTACAGCACACGCACACATACACCTCATCCTGTGAGTTTAAATAATATTATTTTGTTGATAAATACTCTTTCATGTTTGAGGCGCACCTCTCCATTTACCTACAATGTCTGCTGCTATTTCTTAAAGGAAGTCTCCCAATAACACACCTTTGAGATACCACTGCAGAGTTATTCCTGGTTTTAAAAGATGGAGAAAATCCACACCAAACTGATCACCTCTAGTTGCCCAAACTCGAGGAAATTGAGCAGAATATGTAATTAGCCACACTTCCATTGTCTTTACCCATTTTCTGTGCAGTTCTCCCACGTTCTGTGCAATCTTCCCTCAAATGCATAAGTATGAGTGAGACAGCAGCGCATTTTGTGTTTTTCAATGCCTGCAGCCCATAAATGTTAAGGAGCGTGTGCCGGTATAACATAACATGCGGGCAGAATGCGTCAGAGTTGCACTTGAAACCGGTGCAAAAGGCTTAGTTTGCCAGTCTCTGAGTCTGAAACTGATGGCTAACAGTGTTATGCATTTATTGTGTTTTGTGCAGGTTATGAGTGTTCAAATCAAATGTTTCCAAGAAATCATAACCATTGGCTACAGAGTTTACCATTCCTACGACCTGCCCTGGTTCAGAACACTCAGTTGGTAAGTAAAGTATGAAGTTTTAATATCACATTTTACTCTGTCTGTCGCGCTCCAAGTCTGTGAAACACAAATATACTTGTTTCTTCCCGCCACAACCCACCTCTGTTCATAGATAAACTAGTCATTTACTGGACTTGAGCAAAGTGCACGTCCAAGCTGGAGCTTTGCATAAAGTTCACCCGAGTGAGCACTTTATTCAAACAGTAACACTGCTGCATATTTATGAAAGAGGCCAACATACAGTGGATGGTTAGTCATACTAAGAAACAATGGTTTATAAATGGATTCTAATAAAACATGTTCCTTGTATTTCAGGTACTTCTTGATTTGTGTGAACTACTTCTTCTATGGCGAAACAGTAGCTGATTACTTTGGGGCATTAGTCCAAAGGGAGGAGCCTTTGCAGTTCCTTGTGCGCTATCATCGCTTCATTTCTTTTGCACTGTACTTGGCAGGTGAGTTTGACAGGTCAGACAAAACCACTTGGCCCTAAGATCTCTGACGATGAGAGATTTAAATGCTGTAGGTTAACATAGCAAGAATTGCGGGCTGTTTTCCAGCACCACTTTTTCATGACTCTCATGAAAGAGATGCCATTTTGCCCTTGTTTTTTGATCATGCTTTTTATTGGCTGATCTCACACACAAAGGCTGTTCTAAAAGATGATGAGGAAAATTTGGATCCATGATAATTAATTATTATTCCAACATAGAAAAGACAGTGGGAATCTTTTATAAACATCCATTTATTAGGACCAGCAAGGCTCGACAAAATCATGAAAGCAGGGAATTCATCTGTGATTCTTAAGTTATATTATTGCTAATTTGCTTTGGGTACTTTCAGTATTGATTGTATTATTCATCTGTACCTTGTTTAACAAAGGTGTATTAATACATGATGATGCATGATAAATCATAGAACGATATATTATAAATGTGAAAATTGAATAACTAATATTGGCCCAGTATTGAAGTTGAGCTGGTAATTGCAACCGATACCTCGGTGACCCATTTATGTTTGCGTACATACTGGTGCTTGTGTGAGAATTTTGGTTCTTTTCAATGATTCTTTTACAAACGTATCACTCATTGAATTTATATATACCCTGTCCATAGTTCTTTATAGCAACTAATGCATGGTTGGAGAAGCTTTATAGAACATTGTCAAAAATCCCATTCAACCTACGAAATTTAGGGTTGAGCTTAAATTTGCAATAAAACTATGAGTTCTCAGTTTAAAGTGCTACACTCCCAAGATAGATTATGTCACTAGCTAATCAAAACTGGGCAGGATGAACATAAAAATGAACTTGCCACTATGTTAACTTATGTTAGCTTGATTACACAACAAAATAAGCTATACCTAATTTATCCTTATAGTGTTTTTTCTTTCCGTATGCATACAAAATAAATATAATTTGCAATAATACCCTGTAAATTACTGTAATTTGATGAAAACTAAGTTGTCTGTCACATTAGAATGAAGGTGTTGTGTAAAGCTTGTCCAACACATTTATGGGTGGAACATGGATAGATATGTTGGATAGCACAGTGAAACAAATATCATTTTTAAATATTTTATGAAGTAACCAGAACTTCATTAAAGGTTACCAATGGTTAAATGTTTAAAAATGTCCAAATATTTTTGGGGCCACTGTGTAAGCATAGTTCAAAGGACAAAAATTGATTGAGTGTGGTATTTTTCTTCCACATTTAGAGGGAAACTGAAATGGTTCCATGAATATTGATCCTTATATGAAACAAAATCATTTTTAAACCTGAATGTAGATTGGTTATTTTTTTCTGGATGGCATTTCTGTTGTGTATTAAAACATATTTCCCCATTTAATGTGAAACTGACCGCATGTTATTTGCTTTTCACAGGTTTCTGCATGTTTGTTCTGAGCTTAGTGAAGAAACATTACCGCCTGCAGTTTTATATGGTGTGTACCAGGCAAACAGTGTGCAAGCACTAACTCAACATGGCTCTTGTCATTCACAGTCTGATTCACAACACAGCAATAGAAATGGGACATTTTAGAAGCTATATTGTAAGGTGTAAATCTGTGAAAATATCCAAGCATGAGGAACAGTCTGTGTACTTGTAATATGGTTTGTGTGCTGTGTATGTGTTACTTACCAACTTAAGTGTTTCATTTAGATTCATAATATTTTTAGGAACTACAAATTTTTAAATAATGTATTTGAAATGAACTTAAAGCCCAGGTAAATGACAGGTGGATTCAGTTCAATTCATGTATTACACGTCTCTTAGCTGCATGCATTGCTCTCTATGTATCATACATTGGCTTGTGAGGAGTTACGTGAGGCAAGTTTATCAACTTCTCAAGAATCTTATGATAGAAGTTGGAGTAAAGGATAGCTGACCCTAGACCAGCCCTGACTTTGGACAATGTACATACAGGTCCCAGTTCAGCAGCAGTGCAGTATCATTAACTGCTCACGTAAGCTGAAAATTACTGCGCTTACTCTGCTGACTTCAGTTGCAGAGCGATGGCTCACTTCTTGTTGTTAGCACAGCCAAATTTGTTGAAATTACACATGCGCATAGTGTAAGTAGTGTGACAGTATAGTATACTAATCAGTATGTTTTCAAAGGAATTAACATTGTTTCACTAAAATTAGCATAATTGATTGACAGTGAGAACCGGTTAGTGAGCATGGTCAGATTCATTGAAATGATACATTGGAATTTGCATAGGGCTAAGTACTGTGCAATGATATACTGTATATCAGTATATGTTCTGTTGCATATTGTCCAAAAGAGTTAACATTTACAACAATCGCACCTAACTTACTGTGTGACCCATTTAAGCCAGCAGTATACTTAAAACAAATAAGATGTTTTAAAGAAAAATCCTGTCTTTTTGACCAAAACGAATTCATACAAGTTTAAGTTTGTACAGTGGTTGCCAGCTGCTAAACAGAACTTCTGATTACCACATTGTTTGTTCTGCCAACTACCAAAGTCCTTATAGGACCTTATAGGAAAGTCTGTTCACTCAGTGGCCATCCTTGCAATGCCGCCGGGCTGTTATTTCCAGCCATACCAGACGTCTATCTCTTTGAAGGGAGATAAACCTAAAAACTCAAAACTATAGGTCAGATTACCATTTCAAAAGCATATTTGAAAACACTGGTAAAATCTGACCCAAAAAAACTCATAAATAGTTTGTAGCATTTGGCTCAATAATGAAAAAAAAAAAAAACATTTTTGGGGTTGTTCTGACCCAGTGACCAGCGCGTGTCCTGTAAATGGTTCTGCAACCACCCATTAAAATACTGGTTTTAACACATTCTCATCCACTTGGCCTCACCATTTCCCTTCGGATGAATCCCCAAGGGTTGTTCCACTTTATTGCTCAAGTCAAGTTTTGTTTAGTAAGAGCCCTTAGAGGGGCGAGGGATCAAGTGAACACAAGTGTCAGCTTCAGCAGCAGAGCTCACCCAGAAATAACTGCGACCTGAAGCATTTCCCTTTTCAAACCTGAAATAATGGTGGGCAAAGCTGTTTAGAAACCATAGCAGTAAACTGCTTTAAAATACTTAACATTTCAAAACCATAACTTCTCAATCTATTTCAAATGACTGCTGATACAACTCCGTCACTTTACTCTGCTAGCTTGCTTGTTAACATTGTAAAGGCTAAACAAAAACAACAAAAAGGAGGGCACTGCAACACAGCTCTGTGGTAAGTTTATAGCCAGACAATGAAATAATTTTTTGAGTATTACATTTAAACTTCTCAAAAAAAAAAAGTTGCAAAGTTGACTGGCTGATTAGCTCACTGAGGCTAACCTTCCAAGAGTGATTTTGTTTTGTATGAAGAATTCGCTCCTCGCTGTCCCCTTCTCCTCTTTTAATGTAGGTGATGCACATCCGAGTAGTGAGCAGAAGTGGGTGAGGGTATGTTGATAAGCATTTGTATGGGACTCAAATCCTTTCCAAGTATGGGAAAGTGAGGACTTAAGCCATCTGCTGGTTACATTCAAAACATGGTATGAAAAAAGTCTTGTAAAACTGAAACAGTCATTTTGCGATCATACAGGCTCAGCAGCTAGTAACACAGTATAAAAGCATTCTATTTTGCTGAGCCATATCACTGTGAAGATTAAAATACAAATGAACTATAAAAATAATGACTTAGGGTCGTCAGTTCTTTGTGGGATGTGCAATAATGACGCCATCTATGCAATAGACTTTGCAGTCCATGTTGTGAAAAATTTGTAAAAACATTTTTGCTGTCAATTTGCAATATTGACATACTGTCAGACATAACTGAACTGAACTTAGGGGTGACGTTGCACATTATGTTTTACAACCTGTAATGAGCAGCATCTCTAATGGCATGGTGAGATCTGACCACTTACGACTGTGTATTCACAGTAGTAGTTCTCTTGTCATTTGCAGTATACTGCTGGCTTTAGTGAACCCCGTCCAATTAGTTGAAATTACACATTAGCATGTGCACACATTATGTGTTTTGTTGATTTTTTTGTTTTTAATGAAAATGAGTTAACACAACTACAGAGAACCAATTTAAAACTACATTTTTCTTTTCACAATTTGTTCATTTGCTGAGTTTAAAATATTGGAAAAACATAAAACAATGTAAATGCAGTCAAATTAGTTATTGTTGTTTCACTAAAGTTAGCATTTCATAAGTTAGTACACTTAAATTACAATGTGAAAAGCAAACATACAACTGACCTGGGCTTGTTAACCCTTTTGCACTAAACTAACTCTGAAATCTGTGCAGTTCTATCAACTGATAATACATCTGCACAAAGGTCTAAGCTATGCTTGCTTGTACCTGCATAAAGATAATGTACTTTCGACTTCACAGCGCCGTATACATTAACATGTCACTGGGTGTTTGTGGTGGTGAGAGTAAACGTTTGTTTTGCTATACTGATTGAGCTATGCTGTAACTCTGTGCATTGCATCATCGTCCTCAGTGGCCAAATATCATCCTCACTGATGGTTCCATTGATGGTGTGCTTGTGTGTGTGTTTGTCTGTATGTATGTGTGCCTGTGTGTGTGTTTGCCATTCCAGTTTGCTTGGACCCATGTGACCCTGTTGATTGTGGTAACTCAGTCTCACCTGGTCATTCAGAACCTGTTTGAAGGAATGATCTGGTAAGCAGGATTCACACCCAAACCTGACAGACCTGTCTTAAGCTTCTGCCACTCAGACTGCGACACAGACTCACAACCAAAAACGAGTACTCCCTCACTGCATGTCTTCATTTGCTTACGTTCCACAAAATAATTCTGTTGGCTGGTTGGTGGGAGAATGGATATGATCGGTTTCTGGAGGTCCTGTAGCTCCTCAAACATGTAGTTATTGTCATATCAAAACCTCATAACTCCTTTTTTTGGCATTTTTATTTTATTTATTTGAAAACTTAAGTAGGGTTTTACATTGCGTGAACATTTCAGAATAAATGGCGCAATAGAAATTACAACCCCATTTCCAAAGAAGTTGGGACAAAATGTTAATAAAAACAAAATGCAACGATGTGCAAATAATTTAAACCTAATATTTCATTGAAAATTGTACAAAGACAACATATCAAATGTTGTTTTATTATTTTTTAAACAAAAATATTTGCCATTTTGAATTTGATGCCAACAACACGTTCCAAAAAAAGTTGGGACGGGGGCAACAAAAGGCTGGTAAAGTTGTGTCTTTGTAGTATTGTCCTTTTAAAATATGGTTTACATGATTTGCATATCATTGCATTCTTTTTTTAATTTACATTCTGCACAGTGTCCCAACTTTTTTGAAATTGGGGTTGTACTTAACATGAATTTACATTTATGTTTAGAATCTTTCTCCATTCCCTTTAAAGTTGCCATTTTGGAGATTTGAGTTTTTGCTATGACACGAGCATCCTGAAATAGATTCATAAATTTGAGTGTCAGAATATTTCAGACTCTTGGTCAACTCATTGAATCTCCAAACTCCCATCATCAACCCCAAAATGTTCTGTATTGGTTCATGTATGTGTATTTCTTTATCTTTCCTTAATGATTTGTTTAACTGATGGGAGCATAAATGACAAAATGTGTTGTTCTGTGCTACAGGTTCATTGTCCCAATATCAATTGTCATCTGTAATGACATAATGGCTTACCTCTTTGGCTTCTTCTTTGGAAGAACACCTCTGATCAAGGTAATTGTCTCTATGGCTAAGACGTTCATGTATATTTTTGTATTATTTTGTGTGTGCACAGCAAAAGCTCCCAAATAGTAACTGACATGTTCCCGTTCAAACAGACATTTTCACACAAGCAACTACTCAGACACACTTTAGCTGCCCTTTCTTTCTTGTGTCTGAAATGGCTTAAGGAGATATTTCTTAGCAGATTATATATAAGATAATTTTCTTGCATAATGAAGGGAAATTTCAAAAGAAAACAATTTAAAACAGGAAAACTAGACTTCAAAAACATATTACAAGATGCGGAAAAAAATGGGACTCCTAACAATTTTGCAAGATCTGGTAGACCACCAAAGCTGTCTCTATCAGATAAACAGTACTTAAAGCTTTCATCATTGAGTGATAGGAGCAAGTCCACAACTGTTTCTGTCCATCCTTGCGCTGTGAGAGGACAACTGAACACTATAGAGTCATAAATATATAATGTTTGAAAGGAAGTGTAGTAGCCAAGAAGCCGTAACTGAGAAAAGGAAATAGACTTAATAATTTGTACTTAATGGTTGTTTTGACTGTTAATTAAAAGGGTGGTCTCTGACTTTTATACAGTACTGTGTATGTGTGTATGAGTCAGAACATATACAATATATATGTGAATATAAATGGGTGTCTCAGATACAGTTTCTCACTGTAAGAGAGCAGTAAGAGAATGCATTATCATGCAAATTGCCAACTAATGATTGCTGATTCACTGAAAACGTCAATTTTAAAACATACATTTATAATAAATATCTATATTTTTGAAGTAATGAAGTTTAATCATGATATCCCTACTATTGTGTATATCCCTGTTAACAAATTTGTAAACAAAACTGCTCTTCACAAAAGAAATGTTTGGATAGCAGCAAGTGTTCTTATGAGTGAAAACGGTTTATTTTAATAATCAAATACTTTAATAATCAAACCTTAATGTTTCCTCTCAGCTCTCTCCAAAGAAGACCTGGGAAGGCTTCATTGGAGGCTTCTTCTCCACAGTGGTCTTCGGTTTTATTGTAAGCTCACAGACAAACTCAAAAACTATTTTAACAACCAATAGAGCGACATTCTCCACATGTAGACTAATATAATTTTTTCCCCCAGTTTGCCTACCTGCTGTCACAGTACCAGTACTTTGTGTGCCCGGTGGAGTACAACAGTGAGACTAATCGTTTTGCAGTGGATTGTAAGCCTTCAGACCTATTTGTGATGCAGGAATATACTCTACCTGCAGTGGCACAGAATATTCTCAGATGGGTAAGAAATGTACACACGTCCATGGTCCAGTGATGCATCTGATACTGGCCCAGTATATCTGTGCACAGTCATGGATAGGCAGCATTTTGAGGAAGCTTCATGATACCAACCTCTTTTTATCCTGTAGGATTAAACAGGCTGTATTTGTTACTGTGCCTTCAGGACTGCTATATGTAAATGATCTGTCTTCTGATTGGCTGCCCTGTATTTTGCCTCAATCAAAAAGCAGTCTGGGCTAAAACTAAACTGATTACCAAGCTGTTGTTGGCTGAATAGGCAGACATATCATTGCTGTCAGAACAATACCTTTTATCTCCAAAAATGTAAATGTACAATGTAAATAACAGCTAATATTTTCACATTATGTCAAAAAAAAAAAACATAAAACAATGGAGATAAAGGTTTTGTTCTGATCATGATGATATGTAAATGCACTGGTGTTCGTGACAAAAATAATTCATTCAAAACAGGCTGCTTTTATAGCTTAGTTTCCACATATTGACTACATGAACTGGGAAATGAATGATGAGTTTTGAAACTTTCAGTGCTTACATACAAAGAAAATTCCATTATATGGGTCATTTAAATGTCCAGCAAGTTTGAATTAAAAATATATATAATAAGATAGAACACTGTTCAAAAACTTACTGAATTTGCTGATCACACTCATCTGAGAACTGTCTTGGTTAAAATTCCTTTAAGCACGCCTGATTAAGACCCCTCTGTCCAAAAGTCTGCTATGAACTATATGATTTTGAGAAATAGGCAGAAGTTCTACCACCAGATAACCTGCCTCCAGGGTGGTGACAGATTTACCACAGTAGGCTACACCTGCTAGGTTGGCTTTTGCTCGCTAGATTGGCCAGGCACAAAATGAGTGAGACTGTTAACACAGGGACGCATAGTTTTGATAAAAGCTTTGAGACAGACAAACCTTGTGGTGGCGATAAAGCTTAGGGCAAGCTTTACCCAAAATTATGACCACTTAATTTACCCAATTTAATAAAGGAAAGGGCAAAGGAAAAGTATATGAATACGACTAGAACTACATATAGACGAGTTATTCATAAGACCTACTTTTTACATGCATATTCTGTGCCCACAAGACCAACATAAACCAAAATAGAAAGCTATCACACATTTAGGTTCCCCGAGGCTTTAAAGGTCAGTATGAATTAAATATAAATGCATATGTTCCATATGGACAAAATATAAATTTACAGATGTACTACATCAGGCAAAATCTTTGCTCGAACAGAGACATAAATCATGCAGGTGACTGGAATTAATATTTAATCCTTCCTATGTTTTGTACACACAACACCACATGTCTCTATATTACGGCAAAAGCCCTCTTAACATGATTTGTTAATGGAAAGTAAGCTGGTCAAAATTAATTGACATTTTAAAGCATGGTTGAAAAGCCAAACTTACAGTTACCCAGCTGTCTTTAGTATAAATTTAAGGCCATAGGGTTGCCAGACGTCTGGCAGAGTGGACTTATACAGCTGTATGCAAAAGTTTGGGCACCTCTAGCCCAATTACAAAGCTTGTTGAAGTGAAATGAAGTAAACACAACCTCTGCAGTAAACTATTTTTAATTTTTTTTTTTCTGCAAATGTAAATGCACAGTTACTTTATTTTTGGTAAACATAAAAAAATGAAAAAATAATAATAACTGTGGTATGTGCAAAGGTTCGTACATCCCTCCAGTTGTAAAGTCTTTGAACTTATTAGGCCTTAATTGACTGGTTAGGATTGGTTCGGCAGGTCAAGAATTGTCATTAGGAATTTATAAGTTAATGACAAAGCTTAACTCTTCAAAGTTAAGGGGAGCTGTGGAAGTCAAGGCAAGATTTGTAAGACCAAAAAACTCTCAGAATTGCTTTTATGCTTGCCATAAAGGCAAAGCAAAACCCCCACATGACCGCAAAGAACCTGAAGGAAAGTTCAGCTGACACAGGAGTAGTGGTGCACAAAAATAATCTGCATGGAACAGTCATAAGAAGGAAAGCTTCCCTGTGCTTTCATCACTAAATTCGACATCTGAAGTATGCAAAACAACACTGGCTAAGTCAGAGGCATTTGGGAAACAAGAGCTCTGGACTCTTTGGCCACAATTACTAAAGGTTTGTTTGCAGAAAAAACAGCAGCTTTTTTTTTTTGTGATCAAGAATTTTTATTTCACAAAACAACAAGGGGATGGGGGGGGGCAACAGACAGCCAACACAAGAGGCATGGACAGCAACAATGATCATAGGTACAACATCACAAAATTATATAAGGGACGAAGTGTCCATATTCAATGTATACCTTACAGGAAATCCAAAATACGCAACACAAAAATTTAAAAACAGCAGCATTTGATGAACAGAACACCTTGCCCACTGTTGAGCATGGGTGGATCTGTCAAGCTTTGGAGTTGTGTGGTAGCCAGTGGCACAGGAAACATTGCACAGGTTGAAGGATGAATGAATTCCACTAAATATCAGCAAATTCTGGAAGCAAATGTGACACAGTCAGTAAACCGAAGCTGAAAAGTGGCTGGCTTCTACAACAGGACAGTGAAAAAACATACCTCAAAATCCACCCTGAACTATTTCAAGAAAAACAAGCTGAAGCTTTTGGAAAGGCCCTCACAGTCCCTTGACTTTAAAATCATAGAAAATCTGTGGATTGATTTTAAACATGCTAAAGCATGGAAGGAATTCCTAAAATAAGATTTTTTTTTGAGTTAATCAACTCTAAAATAGTTTTGCGTTAACACTAGCAGAAAATGTTGTATTTTTTAAATAGCTATCAATTATTAGTTATTAATTGCTATTGTTGTTTTTATTTCTTTTCACTACAAATCCAAAAAATATGTAATTTGACCTTTTACATACAAGTAAATGGTAAAACAGCCTCTGGTTTGAGCCTACAGTGAGCTGAACTGGGTGTGTTAAAAGTAGGGGAGACACTAACTGTGCTGGGCAGCAGTGGTATTCCAGCATTAGGCTTGATAATGACTGGCTTATCTGATAGCTTGGCTTGTTAGCAGTTCTCGTCATGTATAGGTCTCTGACTGAACTTCTTTCCGGATCTGCTCTTTATTTACAGAAAACAGTGAACCTGTACCCATTTCAGATTCACAGCATTGCTCTCTCCACATTCGGTTCACTGATTGGACCATTCGGTGGCTTCTTCGCCAGCGGATTTAAACGAGCTTTCAAAATCAAAGTAAGTCTAACCATCACTCAATCTCTCCAGTAAAAGTAGTCATGTTCCTGTGTGAAGTCACCTATTTTATCCTATTAGTTATACTGACAGAGATTGCAATTCCACAGGACTTTGCAGACACCATCCCTGGACATGGTGGCATCATGGATCGCTTTGACTGTCAGTACCTGATGGCAACATTTGTTCATGTTTACATAGCGAGCTTTATCAGGTAAGGACAAGTGGCTGCCACACTGACCTTTACATTAGAGCTGTTCTCTATGATGGAGAGATACATGTGAAAGCTAAACAACTTGTGCTTTCACTTTTATCAGTTTTATTGACCAGTATTCTCTGTGGACCAAATCAAGCAGATATGTGTACGACGCCAAACATTAAAACTTGAAGCATCACAGAAGAAAAATGACTTCTCTAGTTTGAATTTCTGTGACGATTTTGATAGTTGGCTGTAAAGTCCCTCTCTTAAGACAATGCAATTGATGAACTGCAATCACTAAATATGGCTAGCTAGGTAGATGGTTAAGAGCAATTATAGTAAACATGAGGATGTTTTCTACTTGTGAGATTTGGAAGCTACATATTACAGATGGAACTGTTTCATTATGCAAAAAGTGTGTAAATTGAATAGACATGCCGCTCATTGAATTTGCAAGGGGAAGGGCCAGGAGAGTCTGCTGCCGTAATTTTAAGCAGGAGTTAGATGTATTTCAGTAACTGCACTTTGTGCAAGTAAAAATTAAAATTTTTAGCTTGCTAGCATAAGGTAATCTAAGCAAAATTCAGTCGTGTGAGGTGTCACACAGTAATTTGTCTTTTCCATTTAGTGCACAATGCTATTGTTCGATCTGAGATGATACTGCCCTACAAAAATCTAGGTCCAGAAGCAGAAGTGGTGACATTTCATTTTGAGTGGTCCCTGTAGATGAAACAAACACTCAAAGGACTCATGTCAAGAACATATGAGGGTTAGGATTAGGATTTGGGTTGAGGTTAAAGTTAGGGTTAGGGTTAGGTTTTGGGTAATGGAAGTAATTATTTTAACAATACATCTACTTAACGTAAGTAATATATCAACAGTACATCTTAAAGATGTTTACTTCAGTGTATTCATATGCCTCACTACTGCTACTTCACTCAAACTTTATCTGGTCTTCATTAGGGTCACACAGACTTGTTATATGAGATATGGTTTAAGATACAGAATGACTTACTGTGATCTCTGTAAACTTAAAAAATTTAATAAAACTTCATGCAACAGATAGCTTTTACGATTTCTGTTGTTTCTATTACAAATTTATAAAAAGAAACAACAAAAATTGTGTATATAATGTGTAGCATTCATATACCTGCATGACATGTGTACACGTGAAGGGGTGCACTTATTGTGTAGCTACCCGCAGCTTTCAGCAACACGGTGAAGTTGTGTTTATTCTCATAGCTCGCAGTAAGTCATACTGTGTCCTAAACTACATCCACAGTTACGCATGACATGGATGTGGTTTGAGAGAGGTCTTGGGGATATATTTACAGAAAAGATTTGGGTGACTATTGACTTCTAGTGTTGTTAGCAGTGTCAGCCCCGTACCGCCAGCGCTAAACTAAAGAAGCAAAATTTGGACACAAAACACGTCTTGGCTGATCCAACTACATCTAGGGTTAGTTAAAAACAGTGAAAATGAGATGTTTCTCTGAAATGAGATTACTTTAATTCAAGAATGTTAGCTTCAAGAATTAGCTGATGAGTTGGATCAGGTGTCTAGGAAGCAGGGAAAGAAAATCTCCTGGGCTCTCATTTAACAGCCCTGTATATACCCCACATACACCGGGTTTTTACACATATGACAAGATTCACCATTTCTTCTTGTGTGTGAGTGTTCGTATATTTATAACTACTTCTGATCATGTGCATACTCCTAGTGGTAGAGAAGTGTAATCGCAGGTAAACCCATTATGAGATGCACAAACTCCCATTAAATTTCTGCCATTTCAGCATAACGGACGGAATGATTAGTGTCATACACTTTAATAATCAGGCAGTTCAACCTGAAAAAATGAATAAAACCATATAAAAGGAACATTTACACATTGATTTTGTGATGCAGACAGCGGCTGACCTTGCCATGCATGTGTAAGGCATTTTAGGCATTTTAATCCACATTTTATATATCAGAAATTCAATGTAAGCAAGTAAATATTATTAATACTCATAGAAATAAATTTGAAATATAAAAAAGCCTAATTCATACATTCAAAATTCAGTTTTATTTTGTTTTAGCATGTACAAGTTCGGTTACAATTTATCTAACTGAATTGTCAACAGTAAACATATTGGCATTGAAATGATTAGACAATTACATATTTTTGCATGTTCAAATTGAAGTCTTATAAGTGAAAACGTAATTATCAAATGATCATATTTTCATTTACATATTAAACAAAGTTTTTACACATTTTTGTAGACATAACATTTTTACAGCACTTTATTTCAGCTTGTCAGATTGTTTTTCTACATCGTTTTAAAACAGCAGTTGTGCTTTACATTGTGTGAAAAATTAATGATGAACAGACTAATAGAAATGTGCCAATATAATTTGGAATGAAACCACTTTACATTAACTTACATTAAAAGTTAAGAATGTTTTTGCCTTCTCTTCTAAAGTTACTGTTTTGGAGCTAAATGTTTTTCAGCGTTGATGTGACATAACATATCTGGCTTATTGTTTCTTTATGTAAATAAGCCTAGCCATGCACAAACAGAGCAGTGTATGATTTATCATTGTCGATGTTTGACAAATCACAGTTTTCTAGTGCATTCTGGAGGTTCTTACACACTGATATAGAACATGTTCTATACAGCTTTAGATAAAAGAGACCCCATGACTAGGACTTAAATCCTCTGACCCAGGGATCGTCAATCTGATCTGCAAAGGCCTGGTATGACTGCATGAGCACACCTCACATGACTAATAAATAGTTTGAAGAGTGAAACCAACTGATTGATCAAACAAGTGTGTGTCTGCTTGACTGGAGTGAAAACCTGCAGCTGTACCGGCCTTTTGTGGATAAGGTTGGTGACCAATGCGATGACCTGAAAGATGTTCTCCCGGCCATCCTAGAGATTTGCTGACAATTACAAAGAGTGAAACTGATCCCATTCTAGTATTGACTGCCGTTTCTCTGACTTTCCTTTTCGTCCTCTAGGGGTCCGAACCCCAGTAAAGTGTTACAGCAGCTGCTGGTCCTGCAGCCTGAGCAACAGCTCAGCATTTTCAACACCCTGCGCAACCACCTGAGAGAGAAGGGCATGCTGCCCCCTGCTGTGCTGGAGCAATGAGGGAACGGTCAACCTATCACAACTGCAGTTAAAAACAGTCATGTTTAACTATGTTTAGCTAGTCACACACATGACTGTGGACGTACAGAACACCCCCCAACATGTTCTCCAGCAATTTTGGAGATATCCTACAACAAAATGAACACACTGCAGTAGACTTTACCTCATGCTTCCACTGCAAGAGCAGCTCACTGAACTAAAATCAAAAAAACAAAACAAAAAAAAAAAAGTGGCAGCACCAGACTTTGACCACAAGGGGGTGCTACACTGAACTGTCTCTGAGAAATGTCTTCCAGCAAACAGAAGAAAAATGGAAGCACATGGTAAGTGAATGTAGAGGGCTCAGAAGTTTGATAATAGTTTTTATGCAAAGTAAGAGCATTGCACTGATTCTGAAAGTGATTCTAGTGTAATTTATTTGTGTGATTAATGTTTTTTTTTTTTTATTGACTTACAGAAGATATAGTCCAGGCAATAACTGTAGACTGTGACGTTGGCTTTTGAGATGCTAATGGCCATGATTAGCATGTTAAGTGCTTCATTAATGATGATTTTGATTTTACAGGCAGCACATTGAGCAAAAAAAAAAACTAATACAGAGGCATGTTTCTCAAGGCAAACCATTACTTCCACTGCTAAAAGTAGCCATTTTCTCTTTTCCTGCTTTTCCTGTTCCTGGTCTGGAACTGTAGTAGCACTGGATACAGTTAGCATTAGAGCACATACCTCTCTTATGTATTAATGTAAATAGACATAGATTATACTAACAGAGTTATGGTATAATATATAAAGTATGCTTGTGTTACTCACTAGACCTTATACATTTTTGAGATATGAGGAAATATATGCAAACAAACTAGATGTAACTCCTTTCCTGAAACTTAGCATGAGCAAACCTCTGTGGGGAGGAGAGTTTGGAGAATGAATAAGACTTGAACTGATTGTTACTTGGGGTGAAACAGCTATTTTTATGGAAGATGATTTGAAGTGACTAATCTGTGAATTGAATCTTTGCTGTGCTTCCACTACCCCGTCGACCAGTTTTAGTTGCACTGTAGTTAGGCGTGGTGAAGGACTCGCCACAATGTTTTAAAATATCCTCTTCAGGTTTTATTATCAAACACTGACGTCTTGTGGTAGACTTTGTGTTTAGGATATTTTAAGATTCGGACGTGCTTCGATGAAGACTGTTTGAAATCCAGAGCGAAGTAGATGTGCATTACTTTATTAATTCATCTGTTAGCAATATTGTATATTGCAGGAACTGATCTAAACATATATATATAAAAATGTGGGTTTGGATTTTCTAGTTAATCTGATTAGCAAAAGTCCTTCCTGATTGTTTACCAAAGCACTGTCTTTTTTGCTGTATAAAACCCCAGACTAACAAACTAACAGCTTCACAGGTAACAGACATACAAATAGTTTCAGGCTCTGCACGTTTTGACGTGAACTATCTGAACACTAGGCATCTCAGTAATTTTGTGTCTTCATAATGCAGTCATTACGATGTTAACAAAGTCGTTAGATTGATGTGAAATGCTTCATTCTAGAGAAAATTATCAACAGTTTTTACAGTGGTGGTGATAGGAACCAGGGGTTGTGATGTCTACAATGCAGACATATAGCCATTTTAGTTAATATCCAAAAAGACTACTGAACCAACACGTGTCATCTGAGGTGTTAAATGTATTGTTAATAATGATAAAACAGAAAAAAAGTTTTCTTTGGGGAGTTTTACTTTATAACTCCCTGCATGTACCTCCCCACTATGAATTTATGTTCAAATATACGTTTTGGGCCCAAATCTTCTCTCAAAACAGTTTAAAACACTGTCTGAGGCATGAAGCAGCATATCTGTAAGCATTTCCTGCAATAACTCTGTGTGATAGTTTTTAGAGGCAACTCTTTGGATGTCTGGTTCCTATCACCACCACTGTGAACAATTCTGACTTGTTAAGTTCCTCTAGAATTGTGCTTTTAAAATGAAACTACTAACAATGACTTAGTTTACATATTAATGATTTAATCATTCAGCAGAACTTTTGAAAAATGGGTGGGATTCCCCTGTAAGTAATAACCCACTGAAGTATCCAGTTATAACTTTATAAGTAAGAAAAATCACATACTGAAATACATGTGTGAACTATAGATGTATACCTGTAAATGCTTTTAACTATTTGCAGGTTCACCATTTTACTACTTTTTCAGTTCTTAGGGAAATATCTTTAGTGGGTTTCCCCTGTCCAGTGACCGTTGCTGTAGAAATCTAGTAGGGACTTGGTGGAGTTTGGGACCAGATGTTTGTACTGTGTACTTTAAATCAGTGTAGCCCACTGTCTTTCCCTAATCATTCCTATCTGCAGTCTGTTTACAGGCGCCCCTTGTTTTCCTTCAGGTCTGCTGTCTTTTAGGCTTTTTTGTTAAAGTCATGGCTCAACTTGCTCTTGCCATGGACAGTTCGTTGCCACGTATGAATGTTGCATGTCTAATAGACGTAACCCTGTCAGACCAAAAAGAAAATGCAGCAGGTGTCAACAGCTTAAAAGCAAGTGACTGCGCTTGTTATGAAGCTACCAGATTTGTAATGTTTTCAACTTAGGAGTTATTGCACGGTTTATGTTCAGATGTTATCCAAGATGTAATATTGTACAAGCATATACTGTTCAGTAGTTTAACACCAAATGGGGTTTAGCTTATTTACTCATCAATCTCAGATGTTATGCAATGTTTTAAAAAAAAAAACAGTTGGGATCTCATTGTTTTTTTTTGTTTTTTTTTAATAATTATTTATGACTTTGATTTGCAGATTTGTTTTCTAATGTGAATCTATACCTTTTAAATGGGCAATGTTTAACAGTCGGTTTTACCATGAATCCTTAAACAAAAATGGTGTTAGGGGAAATTTAAAGAAATCAAACATAATATATAAAGCTGATTTGTTGTTGTTGTTGTTGTTATTATTATTATTATTATCATTATTGAAGGTTAATAAAATCTTGTATTTTTTTCTTTACATCTCGCTTCTTATTGTCTTGTTCAGCATCCACCCATCCATAAGATATACATACACACACACACACGTAATAAAAACTCAAAGGTATAAGCTGACTCCAGCAAGCAGCAATTTGCAACTTTATTATTCAGAGAATAAACTGATATGCTGTGTTTTTAGTTGGACTTAAAATTGACAGTGATAATATTTCCCTTGTGACATTCAGATGTCTCTTTTACACAGAAAAGGAAAGCATGCTGAAGTGCCCAGTAACATAAAACAGTGCTGAAAGAGGTCAGGAAGGATGACTTAACAATGCTAATTATATGTGTAACAGATATGCAACAGCATCATCTTGTGGCAGGTACAGTAATCGCACTCTTACAAATACACAGCAGTCATAACCCGCAGAGCTCTGGTTTTGTAGTACCACCTGTGTTTACAAAGGAAGGCACTGGCTTCCTTATTCCAAAGTCCTAACATCTAACATTCTGCCCTTCTGAAGCATGACACGATTACAAACATTTAAGACAATATAAAAACATGCGTATTATGATGGCTTACATTTACTTCTACAGAATACACAAAAATCAAACCTGAATTCAGGATCTTAGGTAAAGTGCAATGAGGTCTTCACTGAAACATCTAAGGTGCTTGATAGATTTTAGTATCATATCATATCAATATAGTATCAAATCAAGTGCAAATGTCTATTAGGAGTACTAATGTTCATTTTGTACTTCAAAATGCTACTACTGACTACTGATCTTCAATGTCAGTGGAGCTTCAAGACATCTTGAATCATAGCATGTTGCTCATTTTTTTGGATATGTTTTTGAGAGGGAGTGTGAGTAATCTTCTCTAAAGAAATAACTAACCATCGTAGTTTCAGAAGCATCACTTTAAGCTTATGGCTCTGAGAGTTTGCACATCTAGGGAAAAGAGATTATAAACATATTACAAATTATAATAAAGTCATTGTTAAAATTGCTTTAAAGGGGTAAATAAACCAAAAGATGGTTAGATTTAAATAAGCACATCTCTAGCGTCTAAGAATCTGGCCTATGATTATTTTTGCGCAGTCCAAACCATGATTTACACTGTCTGTGAATGGGAGAGACGCAGAAGTTTGACCATCAGCTCACACTATAAAGCAGAGGGTAATTTGCTCAATTTTGCATTAGTATGTCAGAAGTGCTTAGTAGAAAGACACTACAGCTTAATTTAAGTAAGCTGATTCATGGGTTTTTTCTGGAACCAACCCGTATGGAAAGTTAGGAATGATTAAGGATAGGTGGCTTTAGCAGTCTGAGATATTCTTATGTCTTCACATCCTATGAAATCCAACAAAATTGCTGTCCAACATCAGTGCCTGTATTCACTAAATTTCTTAATGCAGTGACTAATATTCTGAGAATTTTGAAGAAATCAAATACATTTGATAAGATTTTACCAAAAAAAATCTAAAGTCACAATCAAAGGTCTCATCAATAACTGATGGATGAAAGGCTTGAGCAGATTTGATTTTACTGTTTATTCTAAATTTAATCAGATTCTCACTGCAAATTTCATGACAATATCTGCTTTGGTGGGTTATGGGGTTTTCTTAGCTCAGTGTATGTTAAACACTTTTCAGTCCAATTACTCATGAAACTCCCCATGGCATGTTATCTGTTCTGAATTAGAAAATGTCGAGTTTTTCAGTTTACAGCTTTGGGTTTTTTGTTGTTTTTTGTTTTGTTTGTTTTTTTTGCCACGACTCTGGTTTTCGTAGTTCCACTTGTCTTTTTACTAAAGAAGGCACTGACCTCCTTATCCCAAAGTCCTAACATAGCCATTCAGTGCTAACTGACTTTGTCCATGATAACATTATCTACATTCCTCCAAACTCACGGAACAGCAAAAAAATCACATTACATGAAATTACAAGCATTTGTAGAGGACCTCTAAGATTTTTTGTGAATATGGGCCCAGAACCTGCTGGACTTACCCCAGCGCTGACCATCTCCTGCTAGGTGACAATGTCATTAAAGGGCAGACGTGAGTCGTCCTCTTCCACTGGTGTGTTTCCGACGTCGGGTCTAGCAGGACAGAAGAGCCACCTGAGCACGGCCAGCGTCACTCGCACCAGCAGCCTGAGCAGCAGGAAAGCAAAGGGGACAGCAATCTGCATCAAGTGAAAGATGGGTGCACTGAAGCGGCTGAGGATGCAGGTGAAGAAGAAAGTCCCTAAAGCTACAAAGGGATAGAGAGAGAGTTTGGCGAACATGAAGGCGTGCTCCCGGCCTCCATAATGCACATACGGACGCAGTGTCTCACGCTCTGAGAAGAGTGCAGTGACCCACAAGGCCAGCTGAAAGAGGCCCGCAAAGAAAATAATGACGCAGCTAATTTGGATGGCTTCTAGCTCATTGCGGGAGCCACGGGGGAACTCGTGGGTCAGCTGGTAGGCCAGTGGTAGACCACCTATGAAGGCTAGGGAGAAGGTGTTGAGGAGGCCCATTAGTCGAGTGGCCCGGGTCACGTGCAGGAAGAGTGAGTGGTGCACAAACCACAGCAGGCCCACAGTGGCGAAGGAGCCAAAGTAGGCCAGGTACTCGTGGCCATACTCCTGAAGAGCTGCGAAGAGGCTGCCGCCGAACTCCTTCTGCACAAGGGAAGGGTCTGGCACATTGTCCTCACTGAAGGGAACAGAGCGGTGGACATTTTGTTAGTAAGTGCTTGTAAAATTTGCACATGTAGAATTCTGAACAGACAGGCCTGTGCACAGACATTTTGTAGGGAAGGGGCTCAAGGGGAAAAAGGGCAACCTAAATGTAGAGCATAGAACAGTCACTCATTTTAAAGAGATGAAAGTAAGAGGAAGTAAACATAGTGTCTTCCCCAAAGGACCCTAAAAAGATGGTAATCCTGCCTCAGCAGGAACTGAACCCCAGTCTTCCATTTGTAGGGCTATGGCGTTAACACCCATGCTGTATAAGTACTTACGGTTCCCGAAAAACTTGGTTTTAAAAAGTTATTAGAGTCCTTTATTGCCAACATAATGTTTGGTTGTTCAAAATGAACACATTACTTTAAGGAGATGTTTTTGGGAGTTTAAACACTATGGTGATGCGTGCATGTGTGACAGATTGAAGTTAACTAAAATCTAGAGTGAGTATACGAGCAATGAAAGTTGCAGAACTTGAGATCCACCAGCTCTAGGCTGAGTTAACTGTGCCTCACAGAAGAAAATCTTAAACAAAAATGGAGGTGATATCAAATTCACACCAACCAAGAGGGCACTCATGCAGTCTGAGGGCAAAAGAACAGGGACTTAAAAATATTCGCTCAATATTCTGTTGCTGAAAAGTATTTCTAGCATCTCAAATACTGGCATAGTGGGCATTTCCTTAAACATAAAAACATGCATAGATACAGACCATATGTCTAAGATGAGAAGGGTGGCTACAATGGCATATACACCATCACTGAAAGCCTCGACTCGCTCTTTGCTCAGCGGTTCATTCGGGTGGTATGTATAGAACAGCATCGAGTCTGGAGTGTCGTCTGATGGACCTGAAAAAAAATCAGCCAGAGACTAAATTCACATTAAAATAAGTTACATATGAGCAAAAAATGCATACTTGATTCAGAACTAAAATTCACAACCTAGGAAAGCAACCAGAGGCATCTACAGTACTTACCACCAATGGCTTTATTCCGAATCCATTTCAAAGACTGAGAAATATAGGGCATGAATATAATGATGGCCAGCAGGACATAAGACTGAAAGACAAAAAGCACAGATTCAGGATGGTATTTCAGGAGAAAGTTCAGATTTAAAGTCAATCACATAGCATTACTACCATTACTGTGTTGTAGTTATATACTGTGCCTAATTAAAATTTGATAAATTTTACACAGTTTTAACCTATTTATGAGGAAACAAATGTTCTAGGTATTAAACTGTCAGAGCTGTGAGATGTCCTGAGGACAACAAACTTCCCCTAAATCTAGTAAAAAGCTGTTAGAAGGCTGTCTTCATGGAGAAAAGTTGTTAGGAACCCATGATGGTATCAGAATCATATTGGCATTGGCTGACTTTTTTTTTTAATTTGTGGGCAATAGACTGTTGTGTAGATATGACTGATAATTCAAACCAAAAAATCCTTTTCATTGATTTCACCCCATTTATAACTATTTGAATATACATGTTTCATTTTCCAAATTCTAGATTTTTTATATGCTGGCATCAGAATTGACTGATGTTTGAAGATATATTAATTAATTAATTAATATTAATTAATATATATCTTCAATTAATATTAAAATCATAACATTATAATGATGTAATCATGTTTTAAGCAAAAGCAAAAGACCATCTGTGCTCTTTTGCTTTAAATGGTCAGCAGAAAGTGTGAAATGTAACACTAACCAGTTGAAAAAAGATGAATGAAAAGATGCTGGCAAAGAAGCACATTAAAGGAACCCTCATTATAATTTCGAGGATGTGGCGTCTGTAGTAGGCTCGGTTCTCCGACATCTGAATGTGCTCGTTCAGGAGGAAAGGACGGCTAAATCCATAAATGACAATGACCGCCTGTGGACACAAGAGTGAATTTCAGCACAGTGGGAATATTTCATCCAGCAGCAGCGTTTAAAGAAGAGTCTAGCTTCCTTACCTGAATGAGGCCTATTACAATGACACAGGCACAGAAAAACACAATGCCAAGAACGTTATTTGGGAATGTCGCCATCAGAGAAAACTGCAAGAGGTAAAAACAATACCGTCAGTCACTCCAGAGTTTTTTTTCAAATCAGCTTCCTTCTTTTTACCTTTTACTTTCAAGTGAACTTGGGGTTTCGTAGGGAAGTACTATATGAGACTGTACAGTGAAAGGTTAAATGAGGAAGTAAGAAGCACTTTTAAAATTAACTACATTTCCTCAAAAGTGCATTACTCACTGTGTAAGGCAGAAATGTTATCAGCATCATGCAAGCCTGAAATAGGAGCAAAAACAGAAGTGAAAGGCTTGCATTATACCTTGATCAAAAATAAGAACTCTAACATGATGTTATACAGATTTATGGCCATGTGTGTATCTGAAATGTATGACAATTCTGTGAGAACCTACCAAATTAAGAAGTGCAAGAGTGTCATCAATGCGCTCAATGACCTGAAACAACCTAACATCAGAATGGTTGAAGAAATAAGAAAGGAAAAAACATCAGACATGTTAAACTTACTAGGTGCATGTGCAGTTTGGTGAATCTTTTTTTTTTTTTAATTAACATAACAGTCACGCAAAGTTCAGCCATACTCACCTGATATGGGCTGCCCAAGCAACAGTGACTATTAAAAATGTCATCAAGTAGACTGCAATCTTAGTGGTGAGGAGCAACTGAATGCTGTCCTTCAGTTCCTGTGTGTGGAACAACAATAGTTTAATGCGTTTTTGGGATTTTTGTCCAACTGCTGTTACTAGACAGCTCAACATGCTTGGAGGAGAATGCTAAGCCTAACAATTCTGTAGGGCTGGTTCAACCAGCATTCTACAGGCATGATATGAAAACGCATCAGCAGATGCATTCTGACGTTTGATTCAGGTTGTTTTGTGTCTTTAAGACTGGTGTGTGTGTGTGTGTGTGTGTGTGTGTGTGTGTGTGTGTGTTTGTACAGGATGTTTTAAAAGTTATACATTTACATACTACATTAAAAAAAAAAATTAAAAATTCAGTTTTCCATATTACAGGCCCTTTAAAAGAGTGAAAGCGAGCTGTCCACTGTCTCCCTTTTTAAGATTCATTGTGTTATCCCTCTATTTTTCTTGGTTATGTTTACCCAGTGATTATTGTTTGTCCTTGAATTATATGTATCTATTGATTTGCTGTGTTTAGCATATACTATATACACATATCTACTGATTTACTGAAATTAGCTTATACTGAAGAGTTGATCATTTTAGACCTGGGTATTTAAGGTTAGCTATTTAAAGTTAGCCTGGGGACTCATGGATCCTTGTGCTCTCTCCCTCTCTGTGGCAGTTACGGTCATAAATAACAGGTCACACTGAGCCCAAAAAGTAATTAGTTGTACAAATAAGAACAGCGTGTATCATCTTTGACATCCTACTAATCTATCTAGTTTGTGCACTTAAAAGGTATAAGAAAACACTTCAAGACTGGACAGAGGCTCTCGGTCGATGTACAAGAGACAGGCTTGAAAACGGAGATATTAAGAAGTTGGGGCAGGCTGGACATGCTCGAGGTCAACAGTAGCAGGCCATTATCTGTGTTTTGGGAACAGATACAGAGAGACAACCGAAATGCTGGAGCAGGCATTCTTTTGATTTTATACATTAATTTATTCTTTAATTTTATTTTCGTCTTATTTTAACCAATCTAAACATTTAATTGTTTATTTTTTCCGTGATCACTTTTTTCAACATCATAAAACCTGTTTCTGCTTGACGAATTCCTTGAATAAACCTGGCAAAGACATCGCTGACGGTCCCACAAGTTCATATCTGCACCTATTCAACCCCATATCTTACAAAGCTACTACAGCTGCAAGTAAAGGCTGCTACCAAGATGGAGACGAACATAAATGCCAAACTTAAACTGCTTTAATTAGCTTCACAGGTCTGAACTTCATCCTTCATTCTATAAATGTACACAGAGCTTCAAATGACATCAATTTTGTTCAGTGAACACAACACTTAGACAAGCAGAGCAGGAAAGCAGAATGACTGAGTCATGCTTCAGGCCTTTTCCTCCGTGTGGGTTGAAAATGTCTGGAAGCCAGAGTCTCTTCTGCTTTTCAACAATGCTAAGTTTTAGCCGCCCAGACAGGGATTAAGCCTAGTCCTGGACTCTCTTAAAAAAGGTTCTTCAAGGGTTCTTTTATAAAGGGAATGGTTCTACTTATGAACCATTGCTCGCTTAAATGGTTCTTTGCATGGTAAAGTAGTTCTTCAGATTAATAGGGAATGTGTTGTATGTGGTTTTATGAAGAACCTTTATAAAAAATAGTTCTACACAGCACCAAAAAGGGTTCTTGTACCAACCTGACATTGTAACGATAGAAGAACCTTTTTGGTGCTATACCAGGGGTGTCCAATCTTATCTGCAAAAGGCTGATGGTTCCTTAACGATTCTTTGAATATTCAAGGTTCTATACACTTCTATGCACTTATTCTTTACTAAAGAACCACTGAAGAACCATCAATCAAAAGAACCATTTCACCATGCAAATAAACATTTCAGCCTGAAACGACTGATGGTTGTTAAACGGTTCTTTAGTAAAAACAATGGTTGTGTATAGAACCAAGAACACTCAAAGAACCATGTGCATGATTAAATGGTTCTTTGCATGGTGAAATGATTCCTCAGATGGATGTAGAATATGTTGTATATGGTTCTACACAGAACCTTTTTGGAAAGAGCTCTGCTATTAGTTTGTCAAGCTTGTCATAATAGAAGAACCCTTTTTGGTGCTATAAAGAAACATTTTCAAAAAGGATCTATGTAGAACCATATACAACACGTTCTCCATCAATCTGAAGAACCATTTCACCATGCAAAGAACTGTTTCACCTTGCACATGGTTCTTTGAGTGTTCGTGGTTCTATATAGAACCAGTGTCTTTTGTCTCCAATCAGACTGCTGTTTAGTCCAGGACTAAAATCCTGTCCTAATATTTTGGAAAATGAACCTCACTAGAAATGCCTCAAAATGTGTAGAAGCATTTCCAGAATAAGAATCTTTCGCATATGGAGAGTAATGGGATGTGGAAGTGAACAGCTGACACGTCTTACCTCAGTGTTTTGGAATTTCGTGTGGGCAACAGGTAAAATCTGTGAACAGAGACGTTCATGAAGAGTTCAGAGGTTAATATGAGGCTCGTCATGCTGTATGACATACAGGAGCAGGTCGGTGGACAGAGTCGGGCATTAACCCTATAATAACCAGAGGCAGCACAGGATGCTGGTCTTACCATGACGGTGGCTATGATGGAGATGAGCGCGTCGCTGTAGGCTAAGAGGCGGTGAGAAGGCTGAGTGCTCCTCTGTCCGTCTCTCTCGGACGGAGTCAGACTCTCCAGAAGGGAGTTGGAGTCGTTCCTGTACCTGTTTCTCTTCTCCATTTCTTCGTCGTCGTGGTGCTCGATAATTTCGCTTTCATTGTGTTCTCCCATCACAGCGGCGGCGGAGGGTCTCGCGCACACACACACGGCCAGGTGAGCAGCAGAGAATAAACGGAGAATGAACTACTAGCTGATCGCCAGTGAGACAAACAGCTGCATTCTGTAAGATCCCTGCACGCTTGCTTGTTTTCTCAGCGTCCGGCAGATTTAACACATATATTCAGCTGTTAGTATCCCGAAAAAACAGAGCCTGGCGCAGGGAAGCACTGAACTAAGCCCAAAGGAAGTGACACAATGTTTTGACACGTGACGATCACGAGCGCTGATTTCCTGCGTTGCGCTGCGCGGCCGGCAGATGGCGCTGCGAGCACACGGACAGGTCAGTGGAGCGGCAGCAGGTCCGTTCTTTTGCAATTAACTGGCCGAGCCGATTCACAAGGCCAACTCCATCAAACTTAGCACCACTCACTCTGCTGAAAAAACATAGAAACCATTGTGTTTCTGTTGGTTCATAATGGTTTTGTAATGTGTTTGGCTTTTTTAAAGGGTTGATTTCACAGTGTAAAAGACCGTAACAGTTTAACAGGTGATCAGTGGCTGATTCTAGTAGCATTTGATGGTTTACTAATGGGATCTAAAGGTGTTCTACAGGAAACTAGTGGTCTCTATTAAAAAACCATTATGCCTGTTCCCATTAGAAAGCAAAACCATTAGGTTTTAATCCTAATGGTTTCTAATGGTCCTTTTTCATGTTCATGATGGCCTTCGCTTCTGGGTTGAATCAGGAGCGTTTAATGAAGCAGGACGCTGCTCTACAGAGCTGTGGTCTGGAAGGAACCCAGTTTAACGCACCTATGCTGTATTCAGCCCCAACAAAACGTAGCAAAGAGTTTACTTTAATGGAAACGGTGGTGCATTGGACACTGTTGTGTTATGCAAGCATTGCAACTATGGCAGCTGAGAGGGCCATTCTTGGCGTTCTTTTTGAAGAATTTTTGGAGCCTGATACGGACTTAAGTACATGTTTAATACTACAACAAATGTCTTCCAACGTCTTTAGTTGTTGTGTACACCAAGCTGCAGTGGCCGCATTGTAGAGGACTTTATTAGAATCCATTGTGTGCACATTGTGTCTTTTTAATACGGTGGGGTTACATCACTGATGATTAGGGAACACTCTAACATGCCCGTCAAACGAGAGAAAATGCACCTCAAAGCTGTTGCACTCCGATTCAACAAAACATGTTGTTCAACTCAGAAACCATAGCAAAATGGTGCACAACATTTTGAGATTGAACATGCTCCTGATTTACCCAACGGCTGCATCCAAAATAGCGTACCGCAGCGGCTCCCAACCTTTTGCAACTTGCAGCCCACACAAACTACCACGAAAGCTTCTGTGGCTCGCTAGATTTACCTGATCAGATTGTTTTTTTTTCTGACTCAACTAATAACAGCTGATCTTGTTTGGCAGCTACCGAGTGTTGGATGTCAGGCTGAAGAGAGAAAAGCTGCAACAGAGTTCTGGCTCAGTTTGACAGGTTTAGGTACATATTCCCTCTGTTTAGTCTCCAAGTGATGGCATAGCTTGTTTGGTAAAGTCTGACACACGTGAAGCTTAACGCTACTCTTTGCTGGATTTTCATAGTTTCAGTTTATGCTTAGTTTTCTCAGTTTCCTCAGTCTGAGATACGGTGGCTGCTTCACTTGTAGATGGCCTTTCCTTTTGAAAGACTTCATTTAACCTTTTATCTGTGATCAATGAGTTCCATACAATTTTATAAAAGGTTGACCTGCACTGAAAATAAAAATGAACTAGCTAGCATACTGCCAGAACATCATCAAGCTTGATATAAATGTGATGTTTTATTTTTGCAAATAATCAACAGTTTTTGTGGTTAAAAAAAACGATGACCAACAGTCCCCTAGCAGTATCACCATTACCCACTGGGGGTCGCAGCCCATTAGTTGAAATCCACAGGCATACTGTGTGCTGTATACTGCATCCTGTACCAGTACGGTGTCTGACGGGGTGGGGGTCCGCATCTCACCGTTTGTTTCAAAATTGGGTTTTAAAAAGCCCAGGTCCACTTGGCTGCACCATTTCCACTTGCAAGAATCCCAGACAGTATCTTAAGGGCCATTCCATTACTTTATTGTGCTACATTTGACTGAATCTTGTCATTCGGAATTTCCCTTCTCTGACTAGGAAAAATCAAAGAAAATGCCCCCCTCAGCTGGAAATTCCTATTTGGAAAGTCATGGTGTTCTGAACTCTGAGCTCAGCATATGAATCAAATCAACATGGCTGCTCGCAATAAAGAACCACTTCTCTAGTTTTAACTGGTATTTTCTTTAGTCGATATACAGACATAGTAATTGGTTAAATCTATAACACTGACAGTAACATTCACTATTTTGAGAAGGTAAATCCACCATAACCGTTAAAGATATCACTTATATCACTAACGTTAACTGGCTAGCTTGTTGCTAACAGTACTCACATTCATGGAAGTGTCTGTGATTTTCCCACTTTGTAGTTTGAATGCGTGGAGGTTGAGAATGGCACAATTCACAAAATTACAGCGCAATATAACACATTGTAACAGGGCTCATCATCAAGGTGCTTTTTCCTCGTTTTTTAAAATAAGAGTTTGGTGTAAGCTAGTACGTAAACCTAGTGTAACAGTGTAAACAAATCAAAACATACCTTTCACAGTCCAGTCCATACAGTCCAGTCCATTTGTGATGTCACAAAAACACATTTGTCATCATATCATATTATGTGTCCACTTATTCAACTTGCAGCAGTTTAGTCCTGTAAATGCATGCAAAGTTATTATGTTTCGGCCCAGACTGCTTTTTGAATAGGGCATAATACAGGGCAGCCAATCAGAACAGAAGTCATTTACATATATTTACATACATCTGCTTTAATGACACACAGTTTGTTTAATTCTACGGGGTAATGACATGCTAATGTGAAAATGAATGATGGCACATAAACCCACACAAAAGTCACAAAATAAATGCATGAAAAACTTAGAATTTGATTATATTTTCTATCTGTAGACTGTATTTTGCTTTCTGTTGTGTGCTCATGCTCTTTGCATTCCAGACCATTAAACGTTGTTGTACATTGAGGGGATGGAAATACGTTTGTAAGTAGAGGAGATGGATATAAAGTTGACCAGTAATCATAGTGGCCTGGTATGGAAATGACTCATTGATTTGATTCATTAAAATGTGCACTTTGAAAGAATCAGTTGGCAAACTGAACTGAACATCTCATCACTAGTAGTAGGTCACTGTTTCACCTCATAGTGTGGGGACCAAACATAGGAGCCCTATATTCTGAATACTTGTCTAAATGAACCTGCTGGGAGTCAGATATAAGCAGCAGGCTCAGATTAGAACCTGTGTGAAGGGGGCTGGAGGCTGGAGTGGCTAGACACACAGTCATGGCCTCAGGCTACAGCCAGTCAGTCTTCAGTTATACCGCCTTATACATCAGGATGTGGTGCTTAGTTATCAATTGACTTGGTGCTTTCAGTATAAATATTGTAGGAGTTATTGATTGTATAGATTTTGCTTATGGTTTCTGGCTCATTAATATCAGTTGCTCAAAATGAAAGGAGTATTAGCTTTAACTCACATTGACCCCAGTAGATAGTGGAGAGTGGTTTGCAGCAGATGACAGCTTGAATTTGCATGACCGTCCAGACTGGCATAATACTACATTAGTATATTTACAAAAATAAAACTGTTGTTTATTTGTGGAGCATCTCACTGTAGTGACATTTTACTGTTGTATGGGTGTGACTATATTGTGAGTACCCATAATGGTCATTACAGAATGACCGAGCCAGTCACAACTATGCTCTTGCCATCAAATGGAAACTTATCAAAAGTAAACAGCCAAATATGGCTCACATGCACACACTTGGAGAGGCACTATAAATATCAATGGTATTAGCAGTTAATTGCATAAAAGAACCATGTCGAAATGGGGAGATTAATATTAAGACACATATTTAGTGCCAGTTATGTGTTAATTATATATTGTATGCATAATTATATTTGCATAATTATGTACCAAATATATCCTGGATCTTGCTTGTGGTTGTAATTTTTTAACTTTAGAGGTGAATTCCAGTGGAGTCATAACATTTGTTTCCAAAACTGACAAACCTGTTTGGTTCAGAAGTGATGGACATTCATAATTTCAGTGTCTCTACAGAAAAAAACACTTTGCTGACACAATGATCTGATTTTTGTTCATTGTATTTGTACAGTACTGTGCAAAAGTCAGAGACTACCCTTTCATTTATTACATTTTTGACCAAAATGGCCAAGTTATTTATTTTTCAGTTAAAAAAAACAGGAAAATGACACAAATGGCTCCAATACTAAGTATAACATTAAATACACACATACACACACACATCTTCTAAGCCGCCTCTCCTTTTGGGTTGCTGGGGGAGCTGGAGCCTCTCTCAGCAGTCATTGGGTGGAAGGCAAGACACCCAGGACAAGTCACCAGTCCATCGCAGGGCAACATAGAATATATTAGTATTTAATTTATCCACTCTTTACTTTTGCACGCTCTACTGACTCTTTAACTTTTTCATCCTTCTGATCTTAATACCAATAAGTCACAGCTGTGTCTTCCCAACTAAAGCTGTTTCCAGAGGAGTCACTTATATCATCTTGACCTTCAAAACATTCACATAAGCACTACTCAAACACAAGTTAGCCGGCCTGAAAATTACCTTCTCAAGTGCATCTAAATGGCTAAAGGAGATATTTGTGAGGAGATTAGATTTAAGACAATTTACCTGCATAAAGAAGAGAAAAGTCAAAGGAAAATAAGTGCAAAAACAGTTTAAAGAAAATAGAGAAACTGAGACACCTAACAACCGTGCCAGAGCTGGTGGGCCACCAAAACTATCACAATTAGATAAAAAGCACTTAAAGCTTCAACTTTGAGAGAGATGAAAGTCAAGCTCCACTCTTACTTCAGATCTGAAAAAATCCAAAGGAGTTTCAACACTATGGGTCTGAAAGGCTGTGTAGCTGTTAAGAAGCTATTACAGAGAAAAGAAACTAAACAAAAAAAGGAAAAAAAGGAAGCAACTGGTCTGACCAGACATCAATATCACTGAATGTGTTTGGGATTACTTGGATTGTGAGAAGCAGAAAATGCAACCGACGTCTAAGACTGAGTCTCACAAAAAGAATGCAAGCTGTACTGAAGGTGAAGGTTGGACACACTAAATACTGAAAAAATA